AACTAAAGCTCAAAATGCGGAAGCGGTAGCGAGCCACGGCATCAAGATACGACAGACAATAGCGATCGAATATCGCTGTCTTCTGGAGTGTATTACGGTACGTCTTGTCTACATATGAGAATTTTAAATTGCAAAGTCCGGGAGTCAAACTTGAGGCGTTGCTGTGAGCTAACGTCTTTTGTTCTAGAGCCGATCAAATCGAATAAGCGCAGCTGTGTATCGCGGTCTCCATGACGAAGGCAAGGATGAGCAAATACGTGTCATGGGTATCTGAATCAGAGCCGGTGGAGACTGCTGGTTTTAGCCTGCAAGAATTTAGTATCATCCTTAAAGGGTGATGTCATGTTACTTTTTAGGCTTGTCAATCTCTGTTACAATGAAACGGTACTGCATACAGTGCGATACGCCCATCGGAGACAAAGCTCCATCCACGGTTTATCGGACCTTTAAAGGTCGTGGTCAAGTGGGGCCTTACGTATATGCTAAACCTTTCAAGAAGGTTGCGCACCGACCCGGTGTTTTATGTGGGCTTGCTTAAGTCGTACCGAGATCCGGCGCAAGTGAATGCGAAGCGTTGGCATCGGGGTGGCACTCATAGGCGCTCAACCACCCAAAAGCTGAACCAGAGAGTGGTTTTGAGCACGGAGTGCAACAATTTCCGTTCAATAGCGCAAGGCGCTCCACCGACGCAGGAAGTACCGTTTTCGTCTGTTCGTCGGCTAGGAGTCGCTTCGACAGAGCGCGAAAGCCCTCAACGTGAAGCAGTCGGTGCACAAAGTGCTCCAGACTCTCGTGGTATTCCGCTCGGCGCTATGCGACCGCAGCATGATGCTCAGCGGAGCACCGATGATGACGGAACTTGTCCTTAAGAGCTCAAAGAGCATCGCGAGTAACCGGACGACGATCGACCAAGTAGTCTTTGTCCGCTGCCGACTCTTCTCGACGAGAACAGTGGCGTCCAATATCATGTGACATGCCTTGTGGGTCGAGAATCAAAATTTGTATCTTATGAAGTGGCGGAGAACCCAGACTCCGAGAATTCGTGAGAGTTTGAGTTGCCACTTTGGCAAGACTGCCCAGACGTCGTAGACGCTTATGATAAGAAGGATGATGACGCATGTTGTCGTACACCCCGTAGCCTGGGAAGCAGAATGGCCAAGAGATGAGCTCGAGCTATGGTCTTGAGGTGCTGTAGGGCGTAGTCTCACCCGCGTGAGAAACCACCGAGTTCGCGGAGCGTTATGGCTTAATCAATACGTCGCAGGGCAACAATTAAAAGGAAGTCGGCGTTGCGCCTTGAGATTGACAAACTCAAATCGAAGACGGCATTTCAGGCGCACGTTCACCTCCTTGTGGCTCCGACGTATGTTAGACAGCGAGGAAACTTTCCGGTACCGCCGCACCTATCGTTCAAAGAGCACGGCATCATATGCAGCGGGCGAGCAACTCAAGAAAAGTCCGCATTGAGGGTACAGGATCGCCTCCTTTTCGAGCGCGAAGTCGAGCGCGGTACGTTTCCATTAGGATTTTTGAGGGGCCAAAAAGCTAACTCGGAGAGCTTTTCGTTGGTCAAGCTCAGCTTGTGTAGTGGCTGGGGGCCCGACCACGTAGACGCCCAACGACCGGTTGATCGCGCCAGTCGATTCAGAAACTGTATCCGCCGAGCGGAAGCCGTATTCCGTGCAAGGGTCAAGGACCGGCCTTAAGTTGCTGCTTCCATACCCCGTCGGGGCGATTGGTAGTGATACCACTTCCACCGGGAGTCGAGAGGTCGGGAAACGGACATGGTGTCCGCAAGGTTCGAGCAGGGATCACGTCCCCCCGCTGGGGCACCTCGCCCTCTAATTTTTCCCATCCTGGAAAAGGAGTTTACAATGCGATGTAGACCTCCTCCAAATTCTCAACGAGGTAGTCCATTTTCCGTGGCGGGCTCGGTGCGCGATCGGGATTCGCTATCGCGTCTGCGTTGTTGGTCGTGCGACCCTGTCGCTGACAATGCGCTGTGAGGTACTCGTTTACCGAGAGCTTGGGTTGCGCTTCCCTGGAAGCATCGGACGTACTGTTTGGAGTTACACCGACGAAGAAGGGCTCCGCCCGCGGGCGCTCTTGGAACAGCGAGGATAAGTGTCTTTTATATCCTCGAAACAGGGCTCATTGAGCAGAGAATTCGGGGCGAAGGCTCTGGTGATGTTGTGGTGTATTAGACACACGAGCCTCGTTCGAGGCAACATTTGAATGTGAACTGTACGTGTTCACAATCTTGATTGGGTGGAGTATAACAGGATTTCACGTGCCCTTTTATGAAGGGTGTGGGTCACACAGGATGGTGTGACCACACATTGGTGTGGCTACACTTAAAGAAGAAGTCAGTACGTGGCTGGAACAGCCAGTACTTATACATTTGCTTAGGCTTTACTATATAGAGAGGAAAACATATGGATTTAGATATAGACGGCATTGTTGCAGATAAAACCGAAAAAATACAGTTGACATTTTAAGCGGAAGAGGTAATAAGACTTGCTATAAGGTTGTTATACTCTTGGAGTACGCGAATTGCGACCCGCTACACTCGTACAGGCTCTATATATAGGAAGGTCACCGACCATGACCAAGCGTCCTCTTTGCGAAAGAGCTACGTCAGCCCCGTTGCACATCACCGCTGGCGCGGTCATTGCGAGGTTATTATCTTACTGCATTGAAGTTGTACCAACACTAAGTGCGACGCCTACTGGGTCCTCAAGGAGGTCAGGATGACGCGAAAAGTCTTGGTGCAAGTCGCACATGTTAAGAGAAGCTTTTTAAAGATAGTGACAAATGGTGACTTATAAAAATGCTTTGTAGCCACTGCGCCAATAAAAGTTCCCACTTCTCGGGAATATCCTCTAACGCTCGCCTCTGTTAATCGGAATACAAATGTTTTGATAGCGCACTTTATAGTTGGTTAGGCTGTGTGAGCAGTCGGGACATCAATCCTGTATATTCTCTCATGTTATGGACGTCCACTTCGCAGAGATATTGCACAGACGTGCCAATTCAGCTTGCGGCCCTCAATCTTGAAGACTGCCAGAACGACGCAGTATTTGCTTTGTCTAGAGCATGACAAAATTCACTTTTCGGTATCAGAAAGAATTTTTTGAATTCCTGTTTCGAGTGTCTAGATACGAAACAGTAGCGGCCGCAAAATGCTTCATTTAAGCCCCAATCCACGCGTGATTGGTTGGCCCTTGAGGTGTTTCGCCAGCACAATCTTAAGAATGTCGAGATCCTTGAGTAGCCTCTCCAGCTCATCGACCGCAAATTGCTTTATACCCTCAGAGTCAACTATAGGCACGAGCCTGCTAAGCGTGTCTGGATGGAAATCTCGGGTTCAATTCTCATAAAGGGGTACATCTGTTTCACGACTGGGTGTTGATTCACGATGCTTGCACAACGACTTAGAGCTTCTAAAAAAGCTACGTATTTAGTATTCTCTTTTAAATTACTTGTGGCATGTATTGACAACTTAATATTGAATTTAAAGGTCGCCCCATTGGCCTCATCAGTACCAGTTCCTTGGTACTATTGGGGGGACAATAGCGTAATAAGCACGCACACCATAACCGGTACGCATCCCGTTAAAGCAACTTTGTCTTGATTTAAGGTCACAACACAGGCAGCGCGATGTATTTTCACGTTTTATGATAGCCAAGGTGATGTGAAAGAGATAGAAGAATTAGTAAAACGAAAAATACTTTTTCTTTTGAAGGGAGTTGTGATAAGGCTTCCTTAATCAGTGTAGAGCAATTTACTGGGCCCGGATCATTAGCTTAAAGAGCTTTACTCCGAGTGTCTTATATCATACCTTTTGATGTTAGAAGCTCCAAAATAAAAGGTGCTGCGAATTCCAGAAGACGCAGAACGACTAATTAGAATCGTTTGATATGTCAGTACAACTAGGCATCAATAAGTCCTGCGTAAACGCGCCACCTTGATCTGCCAGATCTTGGAAGTCGGTATCACATTGGCCTAAATATTGTGTTAGAAATAGTGCAGGCAGAATGTAAATCTCTTTGGTCTAAATATACCAAAACGATATACAACACAAATGATAATTGAGAGAAGTCGAGTAGCTACGATCTCAAAACATCACGAAGAGACATTTTGACTTTCACGACTTTTTTAACAACGGTCTAATCTGGTTGAAAGCCGGCAGTTTCAGTAACCTATACTGAAATTATGCGTCGAGGCAACAACTCGTTGACACATGCGTTTGCAGGTTTGCGAAAGATCAGCGCGCAATTTGTTTTTGCAGGAGAATTCACAAAGTGGATTGCTAGTGGATAAATGTACTTGCCAGTGAGTTGCACGTTGATCCGTTACAGTGAAGATGTTGTCATCTGACTGGGTCTTAAGAAATTGTTCATCAACTCCAGCAAGTGTGCCTTTCTAGGGTCTGTAAAAGGGTTTCCCAACTTAACGCGACTTTGCTTTTCTGTGAATATTTCTTACTCGTAATGTGGTATGTTACATATAGTGAAAACATCAGCATACCGTCTTCATATGGAGAGTTTGGATCAGGGTTGGCCGTCAGATATCAGTACACAAAAAGTTTGGCCTGCGGTTGACGACGCTGCGCTCACGCACACGTAGAGACACTATTTTGCACTGAAACTGCATCTTGATGACATGAAAAATACCGGCATTTTGTCCAGACGAGGGTTTATTTCCATTGATGGCAAAGCGGTGCTGAGACATTTTCACTTGTGTAATTACTGGTAAATTTATAGAAACAACTCTGTGAATCGTAAGCAAGTTCCATTATACCAAGATTTGTTTCTTCTGCGGTTGCTAATTATAATTGTGTCAATAAACGGAAGGAAATAACTAAACTACCAAATTTTAAATCAATCTATAGGAGTTAACACAACGACGCATCAATTATTGCAATGCTCCATCCTGCATTCTCTAAACAGGATTAAAGTCTGTCATTATACAACAAATTGCAGAGTACTACTTACCATTGCTTCGCTTGACGTCACTAAAACATGGTGTTCTCATGATTATTGTCAATTAAAGCATGGAACTATTTATATGTGTTACTATCATCGTTGCATACCATCAACATGGTGCATAAGCTTCATAGCATATCTTTCGATAAATACAATCAGTTACGTATATCAAGATGGTTATTGATTATTATGTTGCGGGTTAAGTAAAGAAAAAGTCTTTACACAATACTGTAAACAATTGATTGCCACAATTTGTACGTAAGACAACATACTGATCATTTGCTCAATTTTTGACATATCGGGGTTGGTAATGATCGAACCCTACGACTTGTGACCGCGGCCACGACACACTATAAGGTTATGCGATCAAACGACACGCAGGCGACTAATTTTTTTTACTGCTTCAGGTCCGAGGATTGAAGCCGTTTTTGGTTCTTCTTCCGCTTCTCCTTACGGCGTTGGTTACGCGCCTTCTTCTGTGCTTCCGTTAGGGAGGGATCCGTGACGCAACCCAGTTGGTCCACACCATCTGGTGATTCAAAGCCATCAGTTGATGTTGATCCTGTTGAAGCTGGAGCACTAGACACGGATTTCCTGCGGCCGCTGCGTTTCTTTTTCTTCTGTTTGAGCTCATCATCTACCACTTGCTCGAGCGCTGACATGAGTGTCACTACGGACGCCTTATTTTCGGTCATTTCTACCTTGAAAGAATGCTCGTCGTCCGACTTGGTCGTGATTGTAACTGTTTTGTCCACCACCGTTTTATTAGCTGATGGCTGGCTGATTACGTTCGTCTCCACTACGGTTGATCCCATAGCGGTTGTCATGGTCGTCGTAGTTGTTGTCGCACCAGCAATCAACGCATCTTCGGTCTTGGTCAATGTCTCTTCTTCGACATAGTCCTTCACTAATTCGAACTTGACGGTTTCAATCTTTTTCTCCTCATCCATCTTTTCCTTGCTCATAAGTGCATCCTGTGCCTTGCTCACATTTTCGGATGTCTTCGCTACTTCCTCCTTTCCTAACCAAGTGTTCTTTACCTCTACCTTGGACTCCTCAACGTTTTGCTCGGGTTTGACCTCTTCAATTTCCGCTTGAAATGTCTCATCTACCGTGATTTTAGCCTCTTCCGGCATCTCTTCCTTCTCCATTTCGCTTTTCTGTTTACTAGCCTTCTTCTCGTTCGCAATATTTTCCTCTTTCTCCAACTGTTCAGCGGCCTTGATTACTTCAATCTTCTTTTCGATCTTGTTCTCTTCATTCTTCTTTTCGATCTTGTTCTCTGTATCCTTCGTCTCCTCGGTCTTCTTCTTATTCTCGATCTTGCTTTCTCCAACGATCTGACCTCTCACCTCGTTATCTTCAGACTTCTTTTCTTCATACTTGTTCTCTAGATCGTTTTTGTCGCCTTTCGTAGCATCTACGGCACTGTCTTTACCTGCGATAACGACGGTGGCAACATTTACCTGTGCCATCTTGCCATCCTCGGCCATTTCCGAAAGCGTGGCTTTGCTCACACTGACTACCTTCGCAGCCGGTGTCTCCGTGTTCTTTCGTTTAATCTGAAACTTGTTGGCTCTGGTGTAGTTTCGATCCACTTGCAGGAATTCACACAGCAATTTGGCAACATTTGGAGGCTGCTTCTTAACCTGGTAAAACTTGGTGACAGCCTGCAAAAACGCATCTAGTCGCACCTGACGATCCTCGGGCTTGGGCTTTGAAAAGATGCCACCTCTCGGCGGAAAATCAAATTTGAAGCTCCGTTCGGTGGCTTTAAGCGCCTCATAAAAGCTCAGGAACTTGCTATAGCGAATACCTAACGACCAACTGGCGCCTTGTACTGTTACAACCGTAGTGTACGCATGGAATGATGCGTACATGAATTCAAAACCTGTGACACGCACCGAGAGCGTCGAAAGTGAGGGCCTAGCTGTCGTCGTTTTAGGCGCCATAATTGCCTAATTGCTAGCCACGTGTGCTTTACGTAGAATATTGCCGAATGGCGACAAAAGTAGTGGTTAAGCTCTAGAGACCATGTGTACGGCCAGCAAAGCGCAAAAAGTAGCCGGATCATGTTGTTGTAAAGCGTCAAGCAGACTTTTGCCGGGTTTATGCCTCGTTTGGCCAAATTTTGTGTCGTCAGGACCATCTTCGCGCAAAATGCGTACCAAAGCTTGTGTACAGGCTTTATAAGCGCACGTTGGAGAGGTTTACGCACTTATAATTGATCGTCCTACGCACATTACATGGCGAAGAATTCGGAAAGTTAAAAATAGTGAAGCTTGAGCAAAGTCGTGTCTACTTAAGCCCATCATTAATCGAAGTGAAGGTGTTGACCGAGCTCGCACTGGAGCTATCAAATGGAAGTGGAGAAAGGGGGAAATATGCTGCGTTTTTTTCAGAGTAACTGTATGAATAGGGAAACGAATTTGTGCAGAGGATCGAATATGCACGATAGAAACAAACTCAGTTCCTCACGCAAACACAGCAAGCAACGCTAGTGATGAATACGCCAATTTCCCATCCTATGATAAGATACCGATATGAATTCGAAGTAGGCGTATCTGACGACGATCACCTGCGAGAAGTGTACATTTGAAGTGATTTGACCCATTGGTCAAGCAACGCAAGATTGACGGGCGTTTGTGAGAATGCATCAACGAAAAGTAAAGTACCGTGGACGTCCAATTTGCTTTGAGACAGCAGGTGACATAGTCACGAATCAATGTATGCCACTATGCGCGCTAGCAGCACGAGAGCATTGCACTGCTCACTTCTCGATATGCTGCGCCGTCGTTGCTATGATGCACTCGTGAAATAGGTAATATAAGCTCAATCGTTTATCGTCCACATAATCTGATCGAAAACGCGTATAGGAACCTTAAAGTCATTTGATAGATTTGCTCTGTTGGACTTGTACTATTGACCCGCTGGTAGCTTTTTGTCACAGAGTTGAGCTGCATTGGATCATACGTAGATAGCTGTAGTTAGAGAGTCTTGAAAGGCATGACTTCACGATGGCGGTGTTGTTTGCTTAGCCAAGCTAATCATACGCTCAATCTTACATTCGGTACGCGTCCAATGTTACAGCTGCGTTTACTGGCGCCAAAACCGTCGCTTCGACACTGCAATGGGTAACAAGATTTTTATGTTCAGCCAAAGATCGAAAATTGGTTTTGGTACTGTAGTGGTCGAAGAGAAGTATCAGTTTCATTTCGGCAACCCAATAAACCTCCTTGGCTTCAGCACCCGTCTACTTCAAGGTGGCTTAAATTTGTCGCGACATTGCTTCCTTCTCGGCCATTTTTCTGGGTTGGGCACATTTTCAAAGGTTCCTCTTCCTCTACTTTCGTGTTTTGCTTTGTATCTTGAAAACCTTTTTCTTTGGAAAAGAGTCACAATGTCGACGTAACCCACCGTGGCTTTTTTTTTCTTTCGATATTTTCCTCCGGTGCATGCTTCGAAATTTTGTTCGTTGTCCAGCTCAGAATTTAGAATATATAGCGTGTCGTGTATTAGCATAAGTAGTATATATAGTGTCTTTAGACACCCTCAAAACGGGCCTTTTGAACAAGTGGCATTCGCCATCAATACACTACCCTCGAATGACAGGCTTATCTAATAAAAGGATATTTCCTTGATATCAAGATTTGCAAAGCATCTAGGTATTGAGACTTTTCCATGTCCTAATAGACACGTTAAAAGAAAGTGAGGACTGGATCGCTTCATTCCTGACATCACAGCAGCTAGGAAAGCCTCATAAACAAGCGACTTGCACCACAGCATCGGTACATAATACTTTGCCACAATGCTATCAGTCCGATTTGTCATATCCGTCGCTTGACAGTCGATGCCTGGGTGAGTTCAGTGAAAGTCATCCAGCTGTTCCTGACGTTCCTAGGTGGCAGAGAATAGAAGTTCAGGAGCAAAATAAACTCGAAGTGCTTTAAGAAACCGTGAAATTGACAGTGACCACTTGCGAAATATTATTCTCAGGTTGCGCACTTTATTCGCGCAACCCTTCGCAAACCTCCTACGCAACTTAGATTATAGCATTGGCTTCACAAGTTATACTATGAAACAAGATATGTTGTATACGATCGCAGAACAGATAGACTAAAGACCAGATATATAACTGTGCGTCTCCACAAATATCCACGTCGAACGGTTTCCGTCGGATCCGCCCGATAAGGCCATTTTTACGACGCTAGCGACCAAATTGAAGGTGGTTGTAACTAATGTCTCTGTCGACAAAAAGAGGATGTGTGCTGAACTCGACACGGGTAAACGTGATAGCTACTTGCTATCACAAGTAGCTTAGAGCTTAAGCTATTTATCTTCTGTCGCTTGAGCTGGTGAGATACAAACCTGAAACTAAGTTCATGCCCATAGGTATTCGATGCGGAGTGCAGCCTACGTCCAAGATTGATGCGTCACAAACGACATAAAATTACTGATCCAGATTCAAAAGCGCCAGAATCATGTTCACTTGAGGTTTTCTTTTACATCCTTGAAGACCACCTCTTCTACCACTTCAGCACCATTTGACATTCTTTTGAGAAATGTTGTCGATATAACGTGCCAATTTCGCAAAATTCGAAATATACTTGTGCTAGTCGTTGACGAGGCCGAGCCATAAATTAGTAGTGAACTGGTCAACTAACAGCGACCTTATTCGATGGGAGTTCTGCTCTCAGATGGCGCTTCCCAATCAGCATCCTCAAAGTATGTTAGAGCCGAATTCACATATGTGTGTTGACAAACAATTGTTCAAGAACATACACTCTAGCACAACCCCAATTTGTCCAATATACATATGCACATTAAGCCATTCGTTCCGCAAAAATACGGACAAAAGTAGAGCTGAATTGGGTCTCTGCGTGTCGCACAACGCAATTTGAACAGCTCCGTCACTAGACAATGGAATGTTATTGGTGCACCAAACAACATCCTGATTAATACTAGCAACTCACGGCACATCAAGCTCAAAGTTCTCTCTGCTCAACTTTGTTCCACATTACAATTAGCTAAAATTTAACAACTACATCAACAGAGCTGCACAAGGTGCAATCAACACTTTGTGTCCGTTCTGGGGATCGGCATTTGCGCAGATTTGGCTACTGTATTATATTTGTTGTTAGAATAAGCAATTTGCCACTTGCCGTCAACCTATTTGACGCTTTGACACATACATCCAAGTCAAGTAAAACACACACGATTTTACAAAATCTGCTTTATGCATCACACGAAATAAGAAAAACGTCACTGACTTCACACTAATCTTTTCGTAAGAGCATGGTTTTTACGCGCAAAAAATGATTTTTGGGACCTGGGGCAACTCATGTCGTGAGTATCTTGTCTCCATGTCGTGATAATTCTGGAAAGAATAAAATCAAGACTCCTTATAGCCGTCTCACTCCTGGTCAGGAGCTCCGTAATTGTCCTGGACAATGGATCCACCCATGACTGATGATGAGATAAGCGCATCCTTTGAGAACATCCATACCGGTTCAAAGACGTAACTCTTTACGCAACTCTTTGAAATCTTTCCCTAAATAAAACACTTCAAGTTCTATGAAAGATTCTACTGGAGCTACGACTATATCCTTCACCGTCGAGAAGGGAATACACTTTTTCTGTACACGTCCGTGGAGCTTCGACGATCCTCACGGTGAGCGTATACAACAGCGCTGCCTTAACAGTAATACTGTACCGCGACCGGACATCCATCATTTATAATCTCAGAACCAAGCAATTAAACTTGTGACTTACTGTCGCCCTTTTCAACCGGCTCGGGCACAGTATACCGCGACATACAGTCGACATTACTCATCTTCACAGCTTACAGCTACAACCAAATATTCACTTGAGCCATACTCTGGGAAATCGATATACAAATGGTACATCTCGTCTCTGAGCCTGCGACTCACTATCGCTTCCCCTACCGAGCTTCGCTGAGCAGACGTTTGCAAATCAATTTAGCCAACATCATGCCCTAAAATCAAAGCTATTGCAGCTTCATGCTAACTACAAAAGGTGTCTATTTTCTCAAAGAGGCGGGCCCGTTTCTCACTAGACTCTGCGAGCGTGGCACTTTCCAGCCGATCTATGTATCATGGTGCTCCAGCTACGTCATACTTGCAGAAGAACCATTCACACATAAAATAGTGCCCCCATCGCAAGGATCACCTATCCAGCATTCGTATTTGGCATCTCAATGCCCTACACACTGTTTACTGATAATTGCCTATCGCACGTAAAGGCACGACGCTCCTAATCTACCAGTTCAATCGATGCCTTCGCAGAGAACGAGACGTTGAGGCTGACTCCCAATAACCATGGTTAATAAGCTCCACATAAGCGATAGTCACATCTTTCAGATCGGGTTCCAGTGAACTCGGCTTTTACAAGACTTCGAATTTCGTACGTCTTAAGTAACTAATTGCCTTGCGTCTACTGGGAATTGACATCTCCTACGTGAGGATTTGTTAAACAACCCTGCTCCGAGGATCCTCTTCACACCAAAAAGTAAGGGGCACGGAGTACAAATATGCTTGATATTACCACAGAAGCATTATTTGCGAAAAGCACGGCTGTGCTTGGCAGCTAAATAATCACTCTCTCTTCGAATAGCTGAAGTCCATCGCCTCGCAGACTTTTCATCTTCCGACCCCCAAGCGGCCGTCGTCGTAAGGTTATTTTACTTGGCTTTTAAAGTGATATCTATCGCATCCTTGAATGAGATTGGGTGGACGCCGATATTATTGGTGCGACCTACTCAAAGATGCTCTATGAAGACTATGACAACTTCTTCCTTTAAAAAGGGCCAGCCGCCATCGCAGCAATGAACGTTCTTAGTGATTGGGTTAAGCTCCTAGATCTCATTCTTCGACGGGTGGACAGAAATTTATTCGCGCACGGTCCGCCTTGTTATGCGGTGTGGCTTCAAGAAAATGTCTTTTTTTATTCAGTGCGCGAATCGAGTGTGACACTCTTCAAGACTATCGTTAGTTTTCAGAGACTAAACGTACGGCCCACATGAGAGTACTGAGTCATTTGATATCTCTAGGTATGGAGTGTACTCTTCGATCGCGGAAATCTGAGGGTTAGAAAACGCTTGCGGAACATCTTTCCGATACTCAACTTATTCTCTGTTGGGGCGGAAGACCCGTACGCATCGGAGGATAATACCTCCGCCAAAGCTCGAAGAGAATTTCATATAAAGGGAATGTAAAATCAGAACGTGATGGAGTCTGCCAAAGTCGACGCAGTTATTGTACGTGGAACTTGGCAAGATAGTCTCCTCACGCCAGGTTAAGCTCATTGATGACAAATTGGACGTCATCGTGAATTCTGCGGCGGGCCGGTTTAACATCTTCCGCTGTTAGGAACGGGCACAGAGTGCGCGACTATCACAGAAAAGAGGAGAAGCATTGGGAACGATTCTTCATCAGCTATTGAATTCTCGTACATCTCCTGGCGACGATAGAGTTGCTGAATACGTCTCTGAAGAATGTTTGAACCACTCTTTCAGAAAAGTACTCCAGTTTTTTGATCGAGGATGTTATTGGGCCACCGAACGCGGCAGCCGCTCCTTTTTAATAACTAAACGGTCCATGGGAAGACCTCTTGATATAAGGTTCCGATGCGAATGATTCTCGTAAAGTTAGGCGTTGAGGGCATTGAAAGGTGCGAAGATAGGCGATATCTTGTAAGCGCAGTGTTCTTGTGGAGTTATCACACGTGCATGATGTCTTGATAAATATAAATTCGTGCGTAACCAGTGTGATACACACCTTTGTTCAGTAGGATGTGAAGAATACATTGAATTTATGGTGTGCTACACATCAAACAATTGTTGCAGCGGGGCTGTCGTAGCTCTTTGCTGAGAGGAAGCCAAGTTAAGATCACCGACCTTATGGTCTTTACAAAAATCAGTACGATTGCTGCGGATCACAATTCGCTGTCTCCAAGGGTTCTTGATACCTTAACCAAGGTAGAGAGACTCTTTCGCTCAAGTTGAAACTGCATTTAATTCGTTAAGTTGCGGCAGAGCCGCCAATATCTAAAATCTAAGATTTTTTTCATTAATATAGTAATACCAAGTTTAATAGTGAAATCTAATCAATATGCATTACTACTGGCAATCCTGCTACGTAGTGGCTTCTTGTTACAGTGTAGCCACACCACTGTGTGATTACGACAACTTGTGTAATACACACCTATGTATGATCACACCAGCTTGTGTGACTCTCACTTTCACACAAGGGTACGTGCACACTCTGGGTACGTATAACCCGTTACAATTTTGCCAACTTCAGATGTACTAAAGTGCCAAAAGTAATGAGAAACAAGGGACTTTGCAAAAGAGAGGTTCGTGGAAAACACATGCTGCTCGCTCCGCGTCTTGGATTCTACATACTTTCATCAAACATAGTTAGACTAAATGCATATTGATTTGAGCATGACTAATTTTGTATATATGTCACTATCAAATATATAGGCTAACTAGGTCTTTAGTC